CATATCATTTTCAGATTCTTTGTGGATGATGTGCCCATAAGGAGGTATCCAAGGAAGAGTGCAGCAACATTTCCCCTAAGGCCAATGTGGGTATATGGTTCAATTTGGGATGCCTCATCTTGGGCAACAGAAGATGGAAAATACAAAGCTGATTATAGATACCAACCATTTGTAGCTAGATATACCAATTTCAAAGCTACTGGTTGCACCGCCTATGCACCTGCTCGGTGCAACCCTGTCTCTGCCTCTCCGTACCCGTCCGGCAGGTTAAGCCGGCAACAATATTGGGCAATGAGATGGGCTCAAACCCAACATATGGTATATGACTATTGCAAGGACCCCAAGAGAGATCATTCTTTAACACCAGAGTGTTGGAAGTTGAAGTAAAACTCGAAATTTGTAATTTTTTTTTTCTTGGCTTGTTATTTATTTTCTCTCTATTTTTGTTTTGAAATTTTGAAAAGGGTGTTTTGAAATGGGTTGAAATTTTTATTCTTGTATTGGTGCTATTTGTGTACCAAAATATATTAGAAAAAAAAAATACAAAATTGTGAGAGCGAGAGAAGTGAGCAATAAATGAGAGAAAAGAATATCATGAGGTGGAGAATGTAAGTAAAGAAGAAATGGGTTCACTGGGCCACCCAAATAAAAAAAAAAAGAAGGATGGGCCATTGGCCTTGGTGTTTGCCCTTGTCATATCCAAAATAAAGCAAAAGTTTTTTATTGTTCAAGTCATTGTCAAATTGAGGAGCCATGAAAATGATTTATGAATATTATGCCTAAAAAGTCACGCTTATATCAGCACAATAAATGTTTTTTTGTACTAATTGTTAAGGCCATATCTTCTCAAAGATATTCATACCAACCCTATTTTATTTCAAGAGATGAATGGACGAGAGCCTTCCATGTGTCAAGGCAACTTGCAAAACATTCATTACACTGAGTTCAAAGGTGTATAAATTGACACTTCTCTTCCCGACAAGGGGGGTTGGGCATATGAGAGCTAGGCATAGATTTGAGCTCAATTCTTTCTCTCTGTAAACACTGTATTTCTTCATCTTTGTATGCCTTACGGGCAATATCATAGAAATAGTCAGAGATCAATAAAATAACAGTGGATGTAGGAGTCACTTGTTTGAGCATCCGAACCACTATAAAAACCTCTCTTGTTAGCCTATTATTTATGTTTTCTGCAACATATATAATCTCAGCTCCATATTCAAATCTCATAGATCCATCACGTGTAATTTCTAAGATCCTCTTAGCACTTTGCACGTGCGAGTCGTTAGCATCCAAAATCAAGTGTCAACAGTTTGGTGGCCTATGCAGGTCTCAAACCTGCGTCCAAGTTCCTTGATGGCATGCTCAGATCGTCAAAATTCTCCAAACGTGTGGCCAGATCGTAGATCGCACGCGTTAGAATTCTCCAATCGCGTGGCCAAATCGCAGATCGCACGCGTTAGAATTCTCCAATTGCGTGGCCAGATCGCAGATCGCACGCGTTAGAATTCTCCAATCGCGTGGCCAGATCGCAGATCGCACGCGTTAGAATTCTCCAATCGCGTGGCCAGATCGCAGATCGCACGCGTCAGAATTCTCCAATCGCGTGGCCAGATCTCAGATCATACGCATAAGAATTCTGTCGATCGCGTGGCCAGATCGCAGATCGCACGCTCAGGTCGACTTGATCTTCGGCTTCAGATCGCTGATCTCTTGATCTCAGGTCGATCTCTCAAATTGAGCTCGTTATGCTCTCAGGTCGAGCGGTGGAGCTCGTTATGCTCTCAGGTCGAGCTCCTATCAAATCGTTATTAACTTCTAGCTCCCAGATCGCGATCAGCTCCTAGCTCTCAGCACTCGATCGTGCCATGAATAGTTCGAGTTCTTCAGTTCGAGACTACAGCCTATAGTCCAACAGCCATTCAAATCAAAGACCTTAGTTTCTGAAGCGCCATTACGCACTCCAAAAACTATAGGGCTTCTGTTATGCCTAAAAAATCACGCTTATATCAGCGCAATAAATGTCTTTTTGTACTAGCTGCCAAGCCCATATCTCCTTAAAGATATTCATACCAACCCTATCTCATTTCAAGAGATGAATGGACGAGAGCCTTCTATGTGTCAAAACAACTTGCAAAACACTCATTACATTGAGTTCAAAGGTGTATAAATTGACACTTCTCTTCCCGAAAAGGGTGCTGGACATATGAGAGCTAGGCATAGGTTTGAGCTCAATTCCTTCTCCCTGTAAACATTATATTTCTTCATCTTTGTATTGACTATGACATGAATTTTCAATACAATGTTTTGCAGCTTTCAAATAGTGAGGCTCTCAGGGCAACATGATGAAGTGGACATGGTTTCTTGGAACAACATTTGGGAAGCCTTATACTTTACAAACAAATGTTACATTAGAGGGAGTGGAGAGAAAAATCATTGGGAGGAAATGAAATTTCATTTATGGTTTGATCCCACCAAAAATTTTCACCATTATGCCATTCTATGGAGTCCTAAAGATCTCATGTAAGTTTTAGTTTGCTTCAATAATTTTCAACATAACATGTGATAAAAAGTCAATGCTAATTAAAGACTAAAAAGGGTTGGTTACTTTGTTTTGATAATTAAAATAATAAAAGATCTTTGAGAAATGAAGAAAAATGTGTTAATTTAGTGTTAAAATTCGTAACCAATTGAAGTTATTTTTGTATGAAAAAAGTTAAGCAAGTGATTGACATGGTAATAATAAATACAATGTATATCACATGGGTGACAGATTGGAACTAGGATATATAATAAATATTTAATACTGTTCTTAAACATGATAAAAATATTTATCATATTATATCAACAATATAAATATTGTGAATTTACAGAATATGATTCTTAAAATCTGAATCCATTAAAAGTTATTTTTAGTATGAAAAAAAAAAATAATGTGCTTGGAATATTGTTCACTTGTATATATCTCTTGCATGTACGTCTTTCTTACAACTGTAACTTTCAATATCATGGCTTCTTGGCCACAATTTTGAATCTTTATCTGTCCCCTAAATTAATTGAAGTTTCCCGTGGAGACAGAAACAAACAGTGAAAGAACCGACTTGACTTTCCTTTTTCCGAGATTAAATGATTAAAATAGGTGATGAATTGTTAGAATTTTAAGTCTATTATTTACGAAGTCTTTAATTTAAGTTTTTTTTTCTACTGTTAATAAAATAGTTATTAAAATCATTATCTAATTGATAATTTTAAAGTTTTAAAAATTAGTTGATGTACACATAAACTAATCTAAACACTTTTGATCATAAAAAAAAAAAAAATGTGAAGATAGAATAGGGGTCCGGGCCATTATTTAGATACGTGAATTATGGCATACGGGTGAGTTTGGTATTGTTTTAATATACAATAAAAAATCAACTCAAATTTATAAAATAGTGTAAGGATATTGTTTAACTGAGTGAATTATGGCATAGACTTAGAACCAAAAATGGTATCATAATGAATGAATAAAAAGAGATATTATAAAGAAGATAACGGTCTCTAATCTCAAATTCATCACCACATAAAACTTTTATGATTATTAATACAATATTATTCCATTTGATGAGTGAATCAATGGCAAGAATAGGATCATAATGAAATCAAACACGAGGGCCCAGATGGGATACTTGATGACCCACTTTGGTGATGAAGCTCAGAGGATGAAATATATATCATTACTCACAAAAAATTGACTGTATCAGCATCTGATTCTGACCCACATTGATCCTCTATGCCCTGGAAGAAAAATGGAATGGTAAAAACTAAAAAGCACAATATTTGAGGGTAATAAGACAATGTTTGCTTTAAAGAACCAGACAAATTTTTATGTAGCTTTAAATGAGGAAAGAAAACTTGACGCCAACTTCTGTGCAGAAAGTCACAAGTAACTTCCAAGATCCAATACTCTTCAAAGAAACAGTTATCCAGGACTCTCCAAGCTTTTATATGGGAAAAGGGCTTTTGAACTTCCATCTAAAATACAAATAGTTATCTGAAATCCGCACCCAAAAGGAGATGTAAGACTTAAAACAATCACAAATGGGTAGAACTCATCCTTAAAAACGGCTTGTAATGGGAGGGTGCTTAAATGGTTAAGGGTTAGTTTTTGAAGGGTTTTTGAATTTTAATCTAAAATACAAATAGATATGTATCTGAATGAGTTATTTAAGGTTCGTCTTCACCAAAAAGGAGATTTAAAAGATGCCCATCTACCTATATTCTACATTCATATTATTTAATCCTATCTTTCCGCAAGTGAACATGTTTCTCATAAAGAATGGGAATGGGAGTAGTTGTGAACTTCCAATGGGGAAAAACACGTATTAAGTACTTTCTCCATTTTACATGGTCGATAAATGTTCTGGTTTTGTACGTGATTTAGTTTGAGGTGGGTCTCACTCCTCACCCAATAAGACCTTGTTGAATGGGAGGGTTACCCTCTCTTATAATCTAATAGGCTTGAGCGTGCCTAGTTGGTGTGAGACTCCAATACTCCCCCTCATGGTCAAGCCCATATGTTGGGTCATGTCTGTTAATGGAGGTAGTTGTTGGCTCTAACTCCTCACCCACTGGTCAAGCACTCTGCTCAATTGAACCTGAGCTCTGATACTATGATAGAATTTGAGGTGGGTCTGACTCCTCACCCAATAAAGTCTTGTTGAATGGGAGGATTACCCTCTCTTATAATCCAATAGGCTTGAGCTTGTCTAGTCGGTGTGGAATTCCAACGGTATGACCTTTCAATTCAACAACTGCAATCTGTATAATTTTTTTAACCTATTTACTTTTCATCAACATCTTCTTTAGTATTCTAAGGAGGGTATGGGTCCACTAATATTTTTATTTATAGCAACTGTATTGCCATACTCTTTTGATCATTCACTCACTCACTCTCTCATTTTGCATTTATATTCACATAATCTTCCCACTTCTCTTTGCTCAATCTTCTTCTTCTTCTTCTTCATGGCTCAGCTCTTCCTCTTCCTCTTCTCTCTTCTCTTTCTTGTTCTTCCTTTCACCAATGCCTATTGGCCACCCTCTCCAGGCTACTGGCCAAGCTCCAAATTCAGGTCCATGAGCTTCTACAAAGGCTTCAGAAATCTCTGGGGTCCTCAACACCAATCTGTTGACAAAAATGCATTAACAATCTGGCTTGATAACACCTCAGGTAATTTAATTTCAACTCAAAGTTTTATTACTTCCAGAAATCTCTTTCTTCTCTTTTTCTGAAATCCCTTTTCATGATCTTTGATGACAGGAAGTGGGTTCAAGTCAGTTAAGCCTTTCAGGTCAGGCTATTTTGGAGCATCCATTAAGCTTCAACCTGGTTATACTGCAGGAGTCATTACAGCATTTTATGTGAGATTAATTGGACTGACCTCTGTTAACATTTATTTTCTTTAATATGAAATGAATTTTCAATACAATGTTTTTGCAGCTTTCAAATAGTGAGGCTCATTCAGGGCAACATGATGAAGTGGACATTGAGTTTCTTGGAACAACATTTGGGAAGCCTTATACTTTACAAACAAATGTTTACATTAGAGGGAGTGGAGATGGAAAAATCATTGGGAGAGAAATGAAATTTCATTTATGGTTTGATCCCACCAAAAATTTTCACCATTATGCCATTCTATGGAGTCCTAAAGATCTCATGTAAGTTTTAGTTTGCTTCAATAATTTTCAACATAACATGTGATAAAAAGTCATTAAGTTAATTAAAAGACTAAAAAGGGTTTGGTTACTTTGTTTTTGATAATTAAATAAATAAAAGATCTTTGAGAAATGAAGAAAAAATGTGTTAATTTAGTGTTAAAATTCGTAGCCAATTGACAGTTTTTTTTTTTTTTTTTGCATGAAAAAAGTTAAGCAAGTGATTTGACATGGTAATAATAAATACAATGTATATCACATGGGTGACAGATTGGAACTAGGATATATAATAAATCATTTAATAACTGTTCTTAGAACATGATAAAAATATTTATCATATTATATATCAACAATATAATATATTGTGAATTTACAAGAATATATTGATTCTTAAAATCTGAATCCATTAAAAGTTATTTTTAGTATGAAAAAAATAAAATAATGTGCTTGGAATATTGTTCACTTGTATATTATTCTCTTTGGCTGAGAACTATAGTTTCATATTAAACTTTAATCGTTAATAACTTGACCAAAATGTATAATAATCTTTCAAGGGCCAAGTGACTTGACATGGGCGATAATTGAACTAATCATCTACTATTTACATAATTATTAGAATTTACAAATTTATTAACTTAATGCTTTGATTGAATTATTAACTTATTGATTCATATCATTTTCAGATTCTTTGTGGATGATGTGCCCATAAGGAGGTATCCAAGGAAGAGTGCAGCAACATTTCCCCTAAGGCCAATGTGGGTATATGGTTCAATTTGGGATGCCTCATCTTGGGCAACAGAAGATGGAAAATACAAAGCTGATTATAGATACCAACCATTTGTAGCTAGATATACCAATTTCAAAGCTACTGGTTGCACCGCCTATGCACCTGCTCGGTGCAACCCTGTCTCTGCCTCTCCGTACCCGTCCGGCAGGTTAAGCCGGCAACAATATTGGGCAATGAGATGGGCTCAAACCCAACATATGGTATATGACTATTGCAAGGACCCCAAGAGAGATCATTCTTTAACACCAGAGTGTTGGAAGTTGAAGTAAAACTCGAAATTTGTAATTTTTTTTTTCTTGGCTTGTTATTTATTTTCTCTCTATTTTTGTTTTGAAATTTTGAAAAGGGTGTCTTGAAATGGGTTGAAATTTTTATTCTTGTATTGGTGCTATTTGTGTACAAAAATATATTAGAAAAAAAAAAAATACAAAATTGTGAGAGCGAGAGAAGTGAGCAATAAATGAGAGAAAAGAATATCATGAGGTGGAGAATGTAAGTAAAGAAGAAATGGGTTCACTGGGGCACCCAAAGAAAAAAAAAGAAGAAGGATGGGCCATTGGCCTTGGTGTTTGCCCTTGTCATATCCAAAATACAGCAGTTTTTTGTTGTTCAAGTCATTGTCAAATTGAGGTGCCATGAAAATGATTTATGAATGTTATACCTAAAAAGTCACGCTTATGTCAGCATAATAAATGTTTTTTTTTACTATTTGTTAAGTCCATATCTTCTCAAATATATTCATACCAATCCTATCTCATTTCAAGAGATGAATGGACGAGAGCTTTCCATGTGTCAAGACAACTTACAAAACACTCATTACATTGAGTTCAAAGGTGTATAAATTAGCACTTCTCTTCCTGAAAAGGGGGGTTGGGCATATGAGAGCTAGGCATAGATTTGAGCTCAATTCTTTCTCTCTGTAAACACTGTATTTCTTCATCTTTGTATGCCTTACGGGCAATATCATAGAAATAGTTAGAGATCAATAAAATAACAGTGGATGTAGGAGTCACTTGTTTGAGCATCTGAACCACTATAAAAACCTCTCTTGTTAGCCTATTATTTATGTTTTCTGCAACATATATAATCTCAGCTCCATATTCAAATCTCATGGATCCATCACGTGTAATTTCTAAGACCCTCTTAACACTTTGCACGTGCGAGTCGTTGGCATCCAAAATCAAGTGTCAACAGTTTGGTGGCCTATGTAGGTCTCAAACTTGTGTCCAAGTTCCCTGATGGCGTACTCAGATCTCAAACCTGCGTCAAAATTCTCCAATCGCGTGACCAAATCGCAGATCGCACGCGTAAGAATTCTCCAATCGCGTGGCTAGATCGCAGATTACACGCGTTAGAATTCTCCAATCGCGTGGCCAAATCGTAGATCGCACGCATCAAAATTCTCCAATCGCGTGGGCAGATTGTAGATCGCATGCATCAGAATTCTCCAATTGCGTGGCTAGATTGCAGATCGCAAGCGTCGAAATTCTCCAATCGCGTGGCCAGATCGCAGATCGCACGCTCAGGTCGTCCTAATCTTCGGCTTCAGATCGCTGATCTTTAGGTTCAAATCGCATGTTCAGATCGCTGATCTCTTGATCTCAGGTAAAACTTGTTATGCTCTCAGGTAGATCTCTCAGATTGAGCTCGTTGTGCTCTTAGGTCGAGCTCGTTATGCTCTCAGGTCGAGCTTGTTATGCTCTTAGGTAGATATCTCAGGTAGAGCTCGTTATGCTCTCAAGTCGAGCTCCTATCAAATTGTGATCAACTTCTAGCTCCCAGATCGCGATCAGCTCCTAGCTCTCAGCACTCGATCGTGCCAGGAATAGTTCGAGCTCTTCAGTTCGAGACTACAACCTATAGTGCAACAACCATTCGAATCAAAGACCTTAGTTTCTGAAGCGTGATTACGCACTCCAAAAACTAGGGGGCTTTTGTTATACCTAAAAAGTCACGCTTATGTCAACACAATAAATGTCTTTTTGTACTAACTGTCAAGCCCATATCTCCTCAAAAATATTCATACCAACCCTTTCTCATTTCAAGAGATGAATGGACAAGAGTCTTCCATGTGTCAAGGCAACTTGCAAAACACTCATTACATTGAGTTCAAAGGTGTATAAATTGGTACTTCTCTTCTCGAAAAGGGGGGCTGGGCATATGAGAGCTAGACATAAGTTTGAGCTCAATTCTTTCTCTCTGTAAACATTATATTTCTTCATCTTTATATACCTTACAGGCAATATCATAGAAATAGTCAGAGATCAATAAAATAACAGTGGATGTAGGAGTCACTTGTTTGAGCATCCGAACCACTATAAAAACCTCTCTTGTTAGCCTATTATTTATGTTTTCTGCAACATATATAATCTCAGCTCCATATTCAAATCTCATGGATTCATCACGTATAATTTCTAAGACCCCCTTAGCACTTTGCACGTGCGAGTCGTTTGCATCCAAAATCAAACGTCAACAATGAAAGTTAGTACACTATATGGTATTGATAGGTCTCATTATCTTGATCACAATTCACATAATATAAGATCAATCAAAAAAGAAATTGAAAAATGATTCATAGGATGAGAAGTACAATAAAATTCCTCAAAATAGTAACATTTTAATAATTCTAATACTTGTCATGAAACTAACACTTGTCCCAAATCTCAAAACTTTTATTCTATTTAAATAAGTTCAACCCACATTGACTATTGAAATACTTGTTTTACACTTACTAATTATTATTTGATTAATTTATTTTAAATTAACTTAAAATCAATAAAAATTATTCAATTAACCCATATGTAATTCATAAATTATAAAAGATCTCCTAATTTTTCAACTATTTTCAATAAACACGAGTAAAATCATAATCATACATCCACTAGAATCCATAATAAAAACATAATAAAAAAAAAAAAACGTAAAAAAAAAAAAAAAAAAAAAAAAACCATCCAGATCGGAAGTCATAATGTCAACGGCTACACGACGTTGGTGAAGTAGCAATGGCCTTATTTTTTTGTGTATTTTTCATTCTTTTTTATTTGTTGGCGTTTGAATTTTGGAGCGAAAATGGGTGGCACATCGTTAGTTTTCCAAACGAAGGATGGAAAAACTTCTTTCACAAAGATAGGGGATCAAAATGTTATTCAGCCAAATTTTTGTACCACATAATAGTCATTGCATTATTGGTATATTTAGACTGGAATCTATAGCCGTGAAGAAAATTTAACAGCTAGTAATTTCCGTCGCATTAGTTTAGAGTCGGGATTTCTAATTCAACAATTGCACCAAACTTCATTTAAGAATTGGGTTTGTGATCTCGCATTTTTCTCCTATAAGATCATTTCAAATAAAACGTTTTTGCTTATCCGCTGAATTTTTTATAATTTTGAAAGAGGGTGTTTGATATGAATATCTTTAAGGGGTTTATACAATTTTTTTTTTTTTTTTAATAATTATAGAGGAGTTTTTGATACTTTGAAAATGAAGCGGATGAATTTCATTTTATGCGATATCATAGAAGAAAAAGAAATAAACCCATGGGAACTCCTTATACATATAAATGGATGAGGGGATTGAAAACACTGATAGGAACTTTGAAAGTAATGTAAGGAATCCATATCACATTGATTAAAAATACTCTAAATTTTCATCTACTTGTTGTCAATGGTTGGATATGATTGGGACCAACCAATTGACAGAAGAAAACATATGAGGATAATACATAACACATGCAATGGCAATAATAAGCACAAACGTCCATCATGATAATAATGGAACTGAAAAAGAAAAGAAAATTGTCCACTTTCTGATTAAATCTTGAAAGGTATATGATGAAATGCAGCAACAATAATGCAAAAGCATAGCCAAATGAAAGAGATGGGGTCGTTGGGGGGCAGCTTTTGAACTTAAATGGATTGAGAATGATTGAATGGTGACAACCAGAAATAGTATATGGCTACACTCAAGTCCAGATGGTTCTTCTCTGTTTTAAAATTTTGGCAGAATTTGATGATTGAGAAATTCATGTTTTCAAAGGAGGAGTAGTAGTTGGTAACTGTTGTTAATCAATCTGTTTCTTGAATATTCATGGTAAAATTGAGTCGTCAATTCATATAATCCCTCCAGAACAAATCAATAAAATAGAAAAGCCGTGCATGATGAAATAAATCAACCAAGAGATGGTGAAATTGTAATTTAGTAGGGAAAGCATATATATTATAAAATAATATTACATTTACAAAAAAATATTAATATAAAGATGTATATACAAAATATAGTATAGTCTACAATATTGCGAATGATTGAGAGAGGGACTTCTAAGGTTGTTATGGATTGAATGTTAGTTAGCAAAGCTTTAATGCAATGAATTGTAAAAGATTTAAGAAAGTGAATTTGTTTCACAATTATCAAGTTATTTATTTAATTCGCTCCCCCAAATGAATATTAAAATCTTCCTTAAATTACCAAAAACGCCTCAAATTCATCCCAAAGGTATTTGATAGTTTTGGGTGTGTTTGTTTTATTATTTTGAATAGTAATTTAAAAAAAGTTGAATTAGGTTATTATTACGAGGATATGATTTGAATTTGAAAATGTGTTTGGTAAAATTATTTTTTAATCCCCTATATTTGTTAATTTATTAAACACCTTCTATAATAAAAGTTTTAAAATTAACAAAAACACCCCCATCTACCAATTAAATGTCGACAATCGGCTATAGGCTATCGAGAATACGTGTATGGTTGGAGGTGTTTTTGTCAATTTATAAACTTTTATGTGTTTAGTTAAATTAAAAAACTTAAGGTTAAAAAAATCTAAATATCTTAAGTTGAATAGAATATGATTGAATTTTGAAAATAATGAAATAATCATATATTATGAATAAGACATGATAAAAAAAAAAAAAAACACACCTTTTTTATTTTAAGTATCTGTTATGGAGATATTAAACTGTGTAAATCATAAACCGACCTTAGCTCAGTTGGTAGAGCGGAGGACTGTAGTTGATAGCAGATGATCCTTAGGTCGCTGGTTCGAATCCGGCAGGTCGGATTTTTTTGTCTTCAACTATTGGGAAAACTTTTTACTCCCCTACTTTATTTATTTATCGGAAGGCATGTGATTTCAAACCTATTTTATTTATTTATTGTAATGTAAGGCATCGGACTCAAAGTGGAATATAATGAACATCTATGACCATTGATATAGAATGCCTCTGTAATAATACATGTTTATAGCAATTTTTATTTGGGATCTTTTAATTCAAAATATTGATTTCGAAATCATAAAGAAATAAACACAAATTTTCAATCCTAAGATGCATTTAATATTACCAACTCAGAAATCTTATTGCACTAAAGTTTTGAGTAAAAAGATCCCACTTCTTTCTACTTGTAAGTTGTACCCGGCCAAATATACTCATGAATCATATAAGATGAAGCCTCAAAGTTCCCAAAGAAATGAAATAATAAACAAAAATCAACTCGGAAGACAGCAGAACGCAAGGATGTGGATTAGATACCTTTACAATTTCAACAAACAAGAAAAATGAACTGATATTCTACACAACTAAATGCAGCTACAAATACAAGACAAAATCTTCTAACTTAAGCAGCTATCTTCAAATATCATTTAACTTACCCTAATGGCTTCATCTAACCATCTTACTCCTTATGGAGATGTTAGAATACAATTTACAAGGCGCTCTTTCGTATCCACAGAAACAAAAACAAAAACTTCTCCAGTATTTTTAAGTAATGTGGGTTCATGTTACACAATAAACAGGTCGGTTGATAACCTATTATAAGTTGAGAAACCTGCAACAAAATTCAGTACAGATGCACAAAAATCAATTAATTTTACTCCAAAACCTATCACCAAATTCATAACTATCAACAATGACTCCTAAAAGGCCCCAACACAATATTAGTGCATAAACATAACAGGTAAAGCAAACAATAGACACATTGATACAACAATATCATTCCAACATGTGAAAAATTACCAAGAATTTACTACTTGAGCAGAAGAAGATAATGAGATGAGGATGATAATATTTGCACGCACTAGGACTTAAATAAATGTTATAAACTGTGATTATACACCTTGTATTATTTACCTTTCTACAAGACGTTAGTTCTGAAAAGTTGTAATTCATCCTCACTTAAACAGCTAAGTAAACCTTGGCCGTAGGCATTTATATACTTCACATCACGAATAGGATGATTCTGTGATTGAAGGCATTGGACAACTGAAAAAGATGGCAGCTTTTGCAACATCAATTCACATGTAACTTCTTCCCCAGATGCAAACAATCGTTTCTCATCCTCTAAGTTTATAATTGTAGACTTTGGCAATCGAATATCATTCACTGTTGCAGACGAAAAACCTAAATTCTGATAGCCATTGCTGCCTGCTTTCTTCAGAAGAAGTCGGATGCCTGGTATCCCGTGTCTAACAACAGGGGGAGTTGATACAGATTGAGAAAAAGTTATATCATTGGACCTTTCAACTCTCGGGCGAAAGGAAGCAACGATTTCATCGCTGCTGGGACAATGAGCAAGAGAAATACAAACTCCTTTATTCTCTGTTTCAGGAACCAGAGATGACCTTCATCACAGATGATAAAATTGTTAGAACTACAACTTCGCAAAAATAACATCAACCTTGAAGAATTCAATAAAATCATTCAATAAGGTTGCCAATAATTGCATTTCAATTCTTATCTCAAATAACTAAACTTTAAATCTTGAAACAACTTGTCAAACAAGTTGTGATGACCACTGGATATGACAAGTTATACGAAAAACAAAAAGGTTAATTCATTGCTCATCTCAAATGAGTTTGTCAAAAAGATCAAGATACTTAATTCAGCACATTAGTGAAGGTTTAAGATATTCATCTCAGGACTTAAATCAATTGAAAAGTTTACATATCCCTATCATTTGAAAAATGTACATATCTCTTACTTTCAAGTATAGATTATGAGATACTCCAAATGTTGAAGAGGCAAAGAACCTTAAGACATGGTTATCTTTCTTTTTGGGTTTCCTTTAGCACAGGGTAAAGCTTTAGACCCTCTTTAGATGAGTTATTTTTGTAGTAGCAGATAACTGATCCACTAAGTAAGTTCTTTTTACAATAATATACATATCTAAGTTTCCTATCAAAAAAGAAAAAAAAAAAAGCGCACCTTGATAGACCTCCCATTAAGCATGTACCAATACAAAGGGCATAAGGGACAATAGGGACAGTAAGGGGTTAAGAGTGTGAGGTGCTTTGCTGTAGGTTGTTAGAGAAGTGGTTACAGCCACGTATGAGAAGGGAATCAAAGTTGTTAGTGGAATAGGTAGTCATGAAGGTAGTATAAATAAAGGGTCTGTTTTGGTGAAGGGATACAGATCAAATAGTGTCATTGTGGGAGGCCCCCAGCTCCTCGAATTGCTGGGATCTATCTGTTGAGTTTATCAAATATTTTGATTGTTTCTTTTCCATTCTCTAGTAATATAATTGGTTGAGGCCTGCTTGAGTGAATATATTATGTTATCTTGCACTATTTGTGCTGTTGTTTGTTATCAGTGCAGGGAGTCTTATCAAGTGGTATCAAAGCTTCGTTCGGGTAATGGTTAAATCGAAGATAGAGAACAGAGTTGAAGGTTTGGAAAAAGGGATAGGGAACGTTGAAAAAGAAATGGGAACTGTAAGGGAAGAGCTAGGGAGTATTAAGGGGTACTTATCAGAGTTGCGCAAGTGGATGAGACGGAGGGAAGAGAGGGATGCAAATCTGAATAACGATAAAGGAGAGGCATCTAACTCTGATCCTGCAAACAGTGGTGACAGTAGGGGAAGTGATAAGAACAAAGGGGGAGAGAACTCGAAGGTTAAAAAATTAGAACTACCCATATTCAATGGGGAAGATCCGTATGGATGGACATTCAGAGCTAACCGGTATTTTTCGGTGAATCAATATGAAGGAGGAGAAAAAGTAGCAGCAGCCACAGTGTGTATGGAAGGTCGTGCCCTAAACTGGTATCAGTGGGTAGAGTCCAGAGCACCCATTGGTTCATGGACAGAATTTAAGACGGCAATGGTGGAGAGATTCAGACCATCATTTAAAGGATCAGCTTACGAAGCCTTGGTAGCTTTGAAGCAGACTGGTACTGTGACAGAGTAGAGGGAAAATTTTGAAGCTCACGCAGCTCCTTTGCGTGAGGTAGGGGAAGATATACTGATAAGGGTATTTACAAATGGGTTAAAAGAAGAAATCAAAGCTGAAATTCGTCTGACCCAACCCATGTCCCTGTTTGCATTAATGGACCAAGCCCATTGCGTGGAGGAAAGAAATTGGGTCTTAGACAAAAACAGACCTAGGTTTGTTAAAGCCCAAGGACACAAGCTGGACTCTTACACTAGGGTCACCCCAAGCCCAAGCCCAGAACCCATTCGCCCAAATTGGACTAACCCAACACGAAACCCAGATCCAGGTCACCCATTTTCCCCAAATCGATTTCACGACAGAAATCGATTTAGCGACGCGACGACGCAGAACTTTCACGGGGATACTTTCCGACGAATGTCTGACGCTGAGTTGCAACAAAAACGAGAAAAGGGCCTTTGTTTCCGCTGTGATGCTACAGGAGCAAATCAATCCAGATCTTGCTGGTCACCGACGACTAAGTGACCGAAAACGATGAAAGCACACCTGAAACTACCTTAGAAAACGACGACAAAGGTAATCCCTTGGCCCTGTCTATGCACTCAATCGTTGGGGTAACCACCGATAAAACCTTAAAGTTGAAAGGGGTGATTAGAAGTACAGAGGTGATTGTGCTGGTGGACAGTGGGGCTTCCCACAATTTCATTTCGCATGACTTGGTGCGAAAATTAGGTTTAGCAGTGGAAAAGGGAAAATTGTTTGGAGTGATGGTGGGAAATGGGTTTACTGTCAGAGGGGAGGGAATCTGTAAGGGAGTAAAATTGAGGATACAGGGGATTGAATTGTGCCAGGACTATTTTCCATTTGAGTGAAGAGGGGCAGATGTCGTATTGGGGGTTTCCTGGCTCAGTACGTTGGGTGATGTGTGTGCAAACTGGAGGAATCTGACAATGGCCTTTATTAGTGAAGGAAATTGGGTGGTTTTACAAGGGGATCCATCATTAGTCAAGACGGTTGTGTCCTTAAAAGCAATGAGCAGGAGGATGCGGGATATGTGATTGAATTTTGTTCCATTGGGGTCAAGGAAGAAGAAGCAGAGGAACCTATGGATCCGGTAGTAGCAGCAATTGTAAATAGGTTTAGCCATTTGTCTGAACAGCCTACTCCACTCCCACCCAAGAGACCCACTGATCATGCCATAGTCTTAGCAGCCAATGCCAAACCTCCTAACATTCGCCCATACAAATACTCCTACTTCCAAAAAAAATGAAATCGAAAAGTTGGTGGGTGAGATGCTGGTGGCAGGGATAATACAACCCAACACTAATCCCTTTGCTAGTCCTGTATTGTTGGTTAAGAAAAACGACGATAGCTGGCGTTTTTGTGTAGACTATAGGGCAATTCACTATACCCGACAAGTTTCCAATTCCCTCCATTGACAAACTGTTGGATGAACTATCAAAGGCAACCATTTTCACGAAATTGGACCTCAAATCCGGCTACCACCAGATTAGGATGAAAGAGAAGGATGTTCCCAAAACAGCTTTTAGGACACACGAAGGGCATTATGAATTCCTGGTCATGCCCTTCGGATTAACCAATGCCCCTTCCACTTTCCAAGCTTTGATGAATACCATATTTAAACCAGTCTTGCGGAAATTCATACTTGTGTTTTTTGACGACATCCTTATTTACAGTCCTGATTTGAAGACTCACCTGAGCCACATGAGACATGCTTTTCAGATCCTCACCCAGCATGAATTGGTAATCAATTACAAGAAGTGTATATTTGGCCGTCAGAGATTGGAGTCTTTGGGTCATTTAATTTCAGCGAAAGGGGTAGAAGCTAATCCACAGAAGATTGATTCAATGTTGAATTCGCCTGTCCCATGCACAATAAAAGGTTTACGGGGGTTTTTGGGTTTGACTAGGTACTATCGCCGTTTTGTGCAGAATTATGGTTTAATCGCGCAACCGTTAACACAGTCGCTGCAAAAGGACTCTTTTGCATGGGATGACCAAGCACAACAGGCCTTTGAAACTCTTAAAAGGGCAATGACTTCAGTTCCGGTGTTGGCAATTCCGAATTTCACTCTTCCGTTTGAGGTACACATAGACGCATCAGGTTAGGGAATTGGAGCTGTCTTGGTCCAGAATCAGCGACCCATTGCATTCATTAGCCAAGCCTTCTCCCACCAAGCCCGACAGAAATCAGCATACGAGAGGGAGCTAATGGCCATTGTGTTCGCTGTCCACAAGTGGAGCCATTACCTAAGTGGACGCAAATTTATCATTAAATCTGACCAATGCAGTCTACAGTTTTGGACGGATCAGCGTGTTAAAACACCCGAACAATAGAAATGGATTTCCAAGCTCTTAGGATTCTCCTTCGAAATCCACTACCAACCGGGAAACTCAAACCAAGTGGCTGATGCCTTGTCGAGACGCGGAGAGGGTGCTGAATTAGCAGCCATTTTGATAGTACACTTTTCCGAATGGGATGAGTTAGCGACTGAAGCACAACAAGACCCAAAGCTACAAGCAATCATCAAAGACCTTTTTGACCCTACCAGTCACCCTTTGTATGGTTTTCGCCGTGGTTGTCTCATTTACAAAAACAGGTTGGTTTTGCCCAGAAATTCGAAATTCATTCCTAAACTTTTAGATGAGTTTCACAGAAGCCTGGGAGGGGGCTATTCAGGCTTTTTCAGAACATATAAGAAGCTGATGAATATAGTATTTTGGGACAGTATTAAGAGGGATGTGCAGGAGTATGTCCAACGGTGTTCCATTTGCCAATCACATAAATATTCTGCTCTCAACCAACAGGTCTTCTTCAGCCCTTACCCATTCCATCCCAGGTTTTTGAAGATATCAGCATGGACTTCATTGGAGGATTACCAAAAGCAAAAGGACAGGATACCATAATGGTTGCAGTGGACAGACTCACTAAATACGACCACTTTATTCCGTTGTGTCACCCCTACAGCGCTAAGGATGTTGTAGCCATTTTTGTCTCTGGAATTGTACGGCTCCATGGCTTTCCCAAGTCTATAGTTTCTGACCGCGATAGGATTTTTATTAGCAACTTCTGGCAGGAACTTTTCAAGGCCGCTGGCACTTCGCTGAAGTTCAGTTCGGTATATCACCCCCAAACCGATGGCCAAACGGAGGTGGTCAACCGATGTTTAGAAACTTACTTGTGATGTTTTTGTAGTTCGCAGCCAAAACAGTGGGATAAGTGGTTGTCTTGGGCAGAATATTGGTACAATTCCACACATCACAGCTCCATTAAAATGACCCCTTTTAAAGCTCTCTACGACAAGGATCCACCCACTCTCCTCAAGTTTTCAGATTAACCCTCCTCGGTGGAAGAAGTCAACCAACAAATGGCTGCCTGAAATTCCATATTGGCTGAACTAAAGCATAACTTGTCTGTAGCTCAAGCACAAATGAAGGAAACTGCTGACCTCTGTCGTCGGGATATTAGTTTTCAACCAGGGGACCAGGTATATTTGAAGCTCCAACCGTACCGTTTCAAGTCCTTGGCTAAAATACTGAATGAAAAACTCAACCCTCAATTTTATGTTCCTTTCCCCATACTAGAGAAGATTGGGCAGGTGGCTTACAGGTTGGAGTTGCCTCCTACGGCCAGAATTCATCCCGTCTTTCACATCTCTCAACTGAAACGAAGTTTGCACCCTTCGGTACCCATCCAACCCCTGCCACCCTGCCTCACCGAGGATATGGAACTCCTTGTTCAACCAGAATCGTTATTGGATGTCCGCACTTTATTAAATGGCTCTCGGGAAGTACTTATCAAATGGAAAGATTTAGCTCCTTTTGAAGCATCATGGGAGGCTTACGATGTGATCCAGCAGCAATTCCCTCATTGCCACCTTGAGGACAAGGTGGTTCTTCATTGGGGAGGGGGGATGGTATTGATAGACCTCCCATTAAGCATGTTTACCAATACAAAGGGCATAAGGGACAATAGGGACAGAAAGGGGTTAAGACTGTGAGGTGCTTTGCTGTAGGTTGTTAGAGAAGTGGTTACAGCCACGTATGAGAAGGGAGTCAAAGTTGTTAGTGGAATAGGTAGTCATGAAGGTAGTATAAATAAAGGGTCTGTTTTGGTGAAGGGATACAGATCAAATAGTGTCATTGTGGGAGGCCCCTAGCTCCTCGAATTGCTGGGATCTATTCGTTGAGTTTATCAAATATTTTGGTTGTTTCTTTTCCATTCTCTAGTAATATAATTGGTTGAGGCTTGCTTGAGTGAATATATTCTGTTATCTTGGACTGTTTGTGCTGTTGTTTGTTATCAGTGCAGGGAGTCTTATCACACCTCAAGACATCAAAGGTCCTTATAGTAATCGACATAACTCTGTAATAAAAGAATGGATGAGCAAAGTAAAACAGCCCAGAATGAAGGTCCAAATACCCATTAAAAAAAACATAAAATCATATGATTTTTTTTTTATTTCTCCTGAGCTTAAATTCTCTTAACCAGAAAAAGAGTTGACCTCAACAGAAACACCAAGAATCATATGTTTAATAATCTTCATTAACCATCTGCATATAGAGTAAATTATAATCATGCATTCCATCATCAAGAAAAAATATCAAGAAGATAATATGCAGCATGAAAATTGAGAGCCATAGAAGGAAAAAAAATTACATGATATAAATGAAAATAACTAAATCAGATAGTTTTTTAAATAATGCTATCATAAAATCACTAGCCACTGGTTTTTACTCTAATGCTCAGACATCTTCAGATCACAACATTACATTATCTGTTCCATCAATGCTTTCAAATTACTTGAGGTTCCTAATAGTCTCTAAATGTTTCTGGAGATTTCAGCTCCTTTAGATAAATGAAGATTTTTGTGCTAATTGTACTCAGCTGCACAATTCAGTTACAACGAAAGAAAAGCAGAGATAAATTTCAGGATCAAACCAGATATCCTAGTTTGGCAAATTATTTGGATGACTCCCTCATTTTATGGTTGAATATGGAGATTAAGAATTTGCTTCACAAGTAGTAAAAAAATCAGTGGAACAGTTTTAGGCCTACCTAACCAGTTGTTAAGTTCTATTAACTAAGAAATGCTTTTGCTAAATAAATATTATAAATTCCATCAACACAATGCATATTTTCTATAGGTTAAGCAAGATTCCATATTAATAGCTTGTGTTATTTGTTTTAGCTTGGTAAAACGCCGATCATAAAATCTGGATTTAGTCATTGGCAGATTATTTGATCAAAATTCAAAGATATAGGGCAACAGATAGCTAAAATTACTCTTCAATGTAAATGGCAGAAAGTAAAACAATCAATGATATCCATATAGCTTTGGTTATAAAGAAGAATCAAATAAATATTAAACTAAAAACACAAAAAGACACCAGCTCACCTTCCTTCAGCACCATCAAAGTTCCACTGACACACACCAACTGAAGAAGCAGACAGGAGGGTTCTGACACCAGATGGATGTGAAAGAGACTGTATGGTATGAATCGGGTTGCATGATGGCCCATTCAAGGATTCCAACGGCCTTACAGTTTGACGGATATCAAACACCAAAAGTGATCCGTTCTGGACGAAAAGGAAAAGGTTAGTACAACCTACCCCAACTTAATGTATAGGGAACAATAAGGGTCACACCTGTAGTCCAGCATACATATAATGTGCACTGTCGACCTCCCATGAACATGACCAAGCAGCAACCTGGAAGTACATCATCAATATTTTGAAAACTGAGTGGAAGACTTGAAACCAAGTCTAAAAGATTCTTTAATTAACATAAAAGTAACTTCCAGCGTGCAAATAGTGGATGTAGATGGTGCATGAGAGTTAGACGAAACTTGTCCGCAAACTCCAAAGAAAGATAGATTTTACATCATTTGTTTTGCTATAATGAGACGCAAACCAATTGGGTTTTTTCATATGAAAAATCTAGATACCTTGAGGATTATTTCAAAACTTGTTCTACTTATCAATATTAGGGGATCATATTAAAGGTACTTCAGAGTTAATCATTTAGATGTAAACTGAGCTCACAATACATATACAATATGATTTTTTGCAATGTTATGTATCATTTCTACACGATAAAAATCATGTTATATGTAACAAAATTGGTGAGGGTCATGTCAGAAATGTCACAATAAAAATCATGTTATATGTACCAAAATTGTCATTTGTCAAAAATTCCACATTCCTCCTTTTCTAACACATTTATAAACAACCTCTTTGAACAACTGTTGGAAATTTTGGTAAATACAATAAAATATTTTTAGGGAAAAATACAGTGACATCCCTTTCGATTTGGATAAAATAACGTTACAACCCTAATGTTTCATGAATAGCATCAATCTTCTCTTGAATTTAGTCAACTAAATAATTTGAACCATGAAAATTCCATTAACAACCCCCCCCCCCCCCCAAAAAAAAAAACACACAAACACAAACACATGCAACATTGTTTAAATTAAATAAGAGAAAACAAGAAATTCATAGCTCTAACTATTTAGTCAACCAAAACATGGAATGTTTGTTAATATTTCTAAAATGTTGGAGGAGCAATTGTAGTTTCTCCAAATCAAAGGGGAAATTAGTGTAATTTAACCCTTATTATTGCTTACAACCACATGGGTAAACAAAAAAAAAAGGTCTTAAAACTTCAGATATATTTATAATTAGAATCAAAAAGGTATTTATTAGTGCTTAAAAATATAAAACAAAAGTGGATGCTGGGCCAGATATGCACTACAAATAGAAAATAGCTTATCTATATATCAGGGTATAAGGCTTTACATGGACTACTGAATATGTGTAATGTGAGAAAAAAAAAGAAAATTAATATGGAGTCAATCCATAGCCCTAGAACAATTTAGATTTATAAGAAAAAAGGAAGTATATTCAAATCCTTTTGAAATCGACAGCCTAAGGATGCTAATAACTTAATTCTCCCAGAAAACAGTGACTTCTCCTCCACTGTCATAAAAAATCCTTTTATTTCTTTCACCTCAAATCACCCACAAAGGAGCTAGAACCACACACTTTTGAGAGTCTCAGCCTTTTCCTTTCCCAAAGATAGAAAAATTCTCCACAAATATCCAGAACAAGTTTTAAGGATAGCCCACCGAAGATTGGTTTTCATTGCAAACTTTAACCATAACAAAGAAATGTAACTTCTTCAAGGCAAATAAATAATCTGTTTGACACTACTTTAGATTAAAATGAAATATTATATATTAAACATGAGAAACAAAAAAAAATAAAAAATAAAAAAACAAATTCTCGAACTAATGTCAAGCTTTTTAATCAATAAAACCAGAATGGATAGACTGTTTACCGGAAGATCATAATTTAGAATGACATTGTTGCTTTCCATGCTGTGTAACAAATGAAACGAAAAAAGTAATTAGACAAATAGAAACCAGAAATTCTGAAGAAATGGTACCATAGTTTAGAACTAGTGCCACCTGAGAACTGATAATTTCTTGCCTAACGAAGAAAAAAGGGCAAGATTATGGTTAAAAGGGGAAAAGTGCAGGTCCTTGACAGCCTTTGTACTGGAAGGAAGTAAAATATCCTCACTTTCATGTGGATGTATCAAGCTAACCTGCAATAGCATGTGTAAAGTAATTCTAAGAGCAGCTTAATATAAAAAAATATGAAATGTTATTGAAATCATATTTCTGTTAAAGCCAAGAAAGTTACTTTAGTAAGTAGATGTGTTCCACTTCCACCAATTCCAGGCAGCCTTCGGGACATTAATATAATTTGACTGGAAGGATCAACATCAAATAAACGTGCACCATCCACCCTTAATGCTTTCTATAAGGGATGAAAACATGGATTCAATTACATGGGCAACAAAAGATGATTAAAAGACTAGTGGCTAGTTCTAGCATGTAAAACAAGAAATTGCATGAGAACTGAGAAGAAAATCAGAGAAGTAAACATTAGCTCAGAAAAGCACACTTCGTAAGTACACTAGAGGACATGGCATAAAATTGGATAATATAAAGAAGAGCAGCACAGTAACACTAGCCAAAAAAAGAAAATATATCCAAATGTAATGATTAGAATACTGTTAAATTAACAGGAAAGCTTTGCAATAACATATAAACCCAACTAGCCATTAACCTAAGACTGGATCCATGTTTCGGCCAAGATTACTAAAGCACCAACAAACTTCCCAACAGAGATTAACGAAAACGGTACATTTGCAACTCATGCTTCAAGAAATTGTTGTTTCAACAAACTCTTTCCAACCCTATGTGTTATAAGCATATTAAAAAGAGCATTTACTTTCTTCCCTTCCCCTTCTCTCTCTCTTACACAAGGCCAACTATTGAAGGATTCAAATTTGAAAACAAAACACCATGAAAGTGACAGCATCTATAATAGCTGCCTCCATATACTTTGGAGTAGAGATTGTAAAGGCTTTTTGATTTGCAAAACATTCTCTTTAACCCCCTTATCTCATCTCTCTCTGTAAAATTTCTAAACTCCTTTGATGCTTGCTGCTCTCTCAGTTTTATAGCTCATCACATTAAAATAACCATGATTTTTAGATTACGTTACAACAGTTTACTTTATACCATACAGTATGAAGAGTTCCAAGAAATCAGGAAAAGATGATGTCCCAGGGCATCAAGCGAAGCACCTTCTCTCAATTGAATATCCTCAAATGAAAATAAACATAGGCTGAATCCCACACCTATAAAACATATCTTATACACATTTAGAACTGTGCGGATGCATGAGAAGTAAGAGGGGAGAACCAAGGAGTTAAAAGCGTTTTACAAATAAATAAATAGATGCAAAAAATGGCACACCTGTAAGATGAATATACAAGATGATCCTTCTCTGCATATCTCTGAGCTGAAGTTGGAACCTATAGAATATGTCAAAATTTTCGTGCAAACAGGAAAAAAGAAGAAGAGAAAATGGGCTTGATCATTTCATGATACTACAAAAAAAAAAAAACCTCAGAACCACAGCGAAAAAAGAACTCAAAACCCTAAAACACAGATCTAGAAAGAAAATCAAGTGAAGTTCATAAGTAACATAATCATAGTATAATGGACAAAAAAAAATAAAGAACATAAAGAATAAAGTCTTTCTTAGTAAATTGTCTTTCATCTGAAAAGAAATTACCAGATACAAATTGTCCTTGGCAGCTTTTAGTAGAAGCAGCAAATTCAGATGGCCTGCTCTGAGTCTCTCCCAATAAAAACTCCAAAAAGATTGTCCTCTATAATGCCAAAAGTTTTAAAACCCAAAAGTGATAAAAAAACAAATTAATATATTCTCTCCCACCAAAATTTCAGGTAGCTCAAAGTATTATGCAAATTTATCCACATTAAGAGTTATAATTTTTACACTCGAGTTATTTTCTTTTTAGATCTGCAATTAGAACTAATCATACTTGTTTAAGCTGATGAACTTCCAAATGCAACTCAGCTTTTCTCTTTTGCCACTCAGCTTCTTTCTTACACCATTCAGCACCCTACAAGAACAAGTGAAACCATATAGTTGCTTAAAAACTGGCATGAAATTAAAACAACATTAACTCCTTTAAAATCAATACCATTTTGATGAACAAAAATCATAGATATAACAGAAAAATGCCTTGAACCCTACTGCAACAAAAGAAATACCAAATTACACGGCATGTAAGAGCAAAAAGTCAAGTTAGCTAATCCCTAAGAGAGGCGTGTCACTTCACTTATATTAGAACACACAACTCTGTGGATAAATCAGGCCAAATCAACAAACGAATTTTCTTCCCACCGGTAAAGATTCTTACCTTCTTCTCAAGAGACATACACTTAGACTCAAGAGATCGAATTTTCTGCAAACAAGAAAGGTGGTCATTAGAATTAGGTTCCGGACCCAAGCTTTTTAATAAAACCAAAGTAAGGAAATTTAGTATGACCTTCTGTGATTCTTCATCAATAGCAACAATCCGTGATGCAAACAGTTTCCTAACATCCTTCAAAGAGCTTTTCCTATTGCATTGAGGACACTAAAGAGAACAGGAACAATTACGACCAGATAAAAAATAATAATTAGTTTTGAACGATTATAAAACAATGACAAGAAAAATAACAACCAAGCATACCTTTCCCGAGCTTCGACCTTGTTGTAACCATCTCTTGATGCAAGAGAAACCATATACATGCCCACAAGGAAGACAACTGTAGTTTTCAGGGGAAAAAAGTTGATTTGAGTACAAAATCAGTGATAAATGAAGCGAAATTGAAGTCACACAACCTAATAATTTCAAGATTTTCAAAATGAAAAATCAACGGAGATTGACAAAGAGGAGATAAATAAGCTAATTACACGCACCTAATGTGATGGTCACCGCTATTTGTCCACGCGTCCATACAAATAGGGCAAAACAAGCCATCAACCTCAGTTCGATTCCACTCACTCCCTTGAGAACAATCTCCACTCTCAATTCCACTAAACGAGCACGATTCTCCCCCTCTATCTTCTCTTCTCCGCTTCGTTCTATCTTCAATTACCGCTGGATTAGAACTTGAAACCCTAGGCGGTGATTCCACGGCCGCTATTAACACTTCTTCCTCCTCCTCCTCCTCTCCCTCATCTTCCTCTTCGTCGGTTTCTTCTTCAGTTTCGTCTTCTTCGGTTTCTGTTTCTTCTTCTTCAACAAGGAGTTGTTCGGTTGGCCTTCCGAACTCGTCTTCGAGGAGCTCGTTGAAATACGGAGAGTCAGGGTTTGGGTTTGCCATCACAAAGCGGGAAAGTTGTATCTCTCGGTTAGTACTTAAAATGTAAGATACTAATTACCGGCACTGTGATCCTCCTGTAAGTACCGTCTTTGGTAATTCCTACACGTGTCCCATTTAAGTCCAAAAACAAATTTCCCATGTAATTGAAAATATTACTTGAGTATTATTAAATATTTCCTAAAAAAATAATAATGTATATATATTAACATTTTGCTTGTTTTTAGTTAATATGATAAAAAAGGGTTCTTAAAGTTTATTTACTTTATTAAAGAAATTATCTCAAATCGCTTTTATTACCTCATTTGTTGATTAAGTGAGATTGTTGATTAAGTAATTGTTTAATGTTATATCAATAATTAGGGATATAGCCAGAAATGATATGCAAGGGTCAAAGTTAAAAAAATAATACAATTTTAAATTAAAATAAATCGTATTTATAAAATCCTCATTAATTAATACATTTATAATTGTCTTCGATAGGTTTCATTTTTTAAAAGTATTGTATAATGACTTAATTCTTAATATTATCAAACACATTTTTCTCTATATACACAATTAAATTATAATTCAATCATTGATTACTCATTCTATTTTGCAAATAATTCTTCACAAAATTCATTTTTGAAAATGCTCTTTCTACACTAGCAGTGGCAACGAGTATAGTCATTACTAATTTCATCAACAAATAAACTAATAAAATTTTTTTAACAAAAAATAGATTAAAGTAATAGAAATAGAATAGAAATAGATCTTAATGTAATATTTTTTAAAATAGATCTTACATTATATACATTGGCTAAAATTAAATTGATATATATAAAAAAAAAAATTATTCAAATAACCAAATACTTGTACAATTAAATCAACATTTTTATAACACTTGTAAAACAATTAAAGTTAACTCTTATTTGAATCAATCACTTATATAACAAATATAAAAAGGCTGAACAACCTGCACCCATCCATAGTTTGCCATAAAGACAATTTGGTACCTAAAAGGTTTGAAAATGACAATTATCCACTTTCTGTCCAAATCTGTTAGTAAAATCCGTTTAACTAAGGACAATATAGTAATTTTATATCCATTAATTTTAAATTAATCCATAAATCCCTATTTTTTTATTTCATTTTTCTCCTCTCTCTCTTATCTTCTTCTTCATCTCTCCCTTCTCTTTCTTTCTTTTTCTCCGTCTTTTCCCTTTTCCCCTTCTCTTTTTTTACTTTTCTTCTCCCTCTTTTCCCTTGTCTTTCTTTCCTTTCTTCTCAGTCTTTTCCCTCCTCCCCCAATATTTTGGACCCGTATATTTTTACCCGTATTGGACGCGTACCCATTTGACCCGACCCATACCCGGTCCGCCCACTCGTTTTGCCAGGTCTATGCACAGATCATCATCATCCCGTCATCACCACCGTGATAACGCATCTCCACCACAAATCACGCAGCGTTTTCCGGCGACGCTTCGCATTCCAGCTGTGTTGGGCCATTTTCCGGCGACGTTTGGGCTCCCCAAGACTTGATCTTCCTTCCCCGCGGCCGGATCTAGCACTTCCAAGCTTCAGCCACCGCAAAAACCGTCGGAATCTACCATCTTGCCACCGTGCCTGTTCATCTTCCAGCCGAGATCTTGCTCATTTCCAATGACCTTTCACCTCCCCAAGATCTGATCTGAACTCCCCATCATCAGAGCTTTCCATCGGTACCTTCGGATCCCATTTCCGCCAACATTTTCTGGCGAGTGCGACTATTCATATTCTAGGCTGTCCGTTAGTCGTTTTCGCCACTTCTTCGCATCATATCGTTGTCGGTTACTTTCTCTCTGCCATGATCAACTTCATTTCCACCGTTTCAGCCTCCGTCGACACCACCATGAGTGGTTGAGTTCCCGGTTGTCTGTTACGGTGTAGGCGAGATCGAGATTAACTCCATTGCTCTCCTTATCAGCTCTCGACTAGTTGGATGAGCCCGAATGTTGGACATTTGGTTAAGTTTCTTGTATTCATATTATATTTGTTTTCGTTTCAGTTTGTTTGCGATGCTTTAATATTATTCTGATGCTCGACGTGCTGAATTGATAATGTCCATTGAGAACGTTTATTGATGTATAACTTTTCGCATAATTGAATATTGGTTTGAGATTATTGAACGTTGATTATGACTTTAAACTGCTTCGGTACTGATTGCAATCAAGTTGTATTAGCGTTTAATATCATTTCTACTAGGAATGCATTTGTTTTGTAGTTAGTTGATTGGATGATACAAGTTGATAGGTTGTACTTGTTAACGTTGTACCAACTAGTGGTGGTTAAGGGTTTAGCATTTTTCGGTTAGTCGATGATAATCTTTCCAATCGATATGTAACTAAGACGATGGGGAGACAGGATAGATTATACATAGATTGTCAGGAGATATGTTTATTGATTTGCCTAGCCTTGTATGTTTAGGAAATTGAAGAGCGAGGAGAGGAATTGTGAGAGTTGGTCTTGAGCCGTAGCGACAACGCTTTTAATATTGTGTTTTAGTTAGCAATTTATTTGATGCTTTTAATTTCTTGCAATTAATTAGTTTCCTTAGTTTTAATCAATCATTTTGCCAATTTCTCCTTCGTTAACTCAAATATACATTAGGTCATTAGTCTTGCTCTCTGTGGATTCGACCCTGCTTACCGCTAACTATTGTATTTAGGTTTAATTTTTTGGCCATGACGACCGGTCCTACAAAATTTTGGCGCCGTTGTCGGGGAGCAACGTGTTTTTGACTTTTTGTGTGTTTGGGTTGTAAATACTTTTAAGTTTAATTTTTTTGTTATGTTCTTGAATTTTTATTAGGACAATTTAATTCGTGTTTGTTTTTATTTTGCAGGAGGATCTCAATTGGGGAAGTGCTGCAATGTGTCATGTGCATCAAAGTTTAAGCGTGACCCGATTGTGATATTTTCTAATCTTTTTAGTTTTAGTTCTTTTTAGTTCTTGTTAATCATTTGTGTGATGTTTGTGTTAGAGTAGATACCCTAGAGACAATCAATTATTGTAGAATTGACTCTTTGTAATAATGTTCATTAATCAATAAAAGACATTTTATTCTATATCGCGTAAATCATTATTATTGCAATATGTATTGATATATGTCCTTAGAATGGTAGAACCGTGACGAGGGTATCAAGTGTTTCAAATCTTGATAGTGAGAACCCTATGAGCACATATGGTGGCCATTTAGAAATGTCCGTAGCCCTAGTTATTATTCTGAAGTAAGGCACAGATAATACGTAAGGCTATCATAGTGTTGAACGACCTGTCGAAAGTCAGTGACTGATCTCACTTGTCAAGGTTGTTTGGTGACAACCTGGTGCAACACATGGGTGCTTGCTGTAGGCGATTACACCGCAGCAAGTTCACTGGACTGACCCACCAGAGGATTCCATATGGATGGTACCCCAGTGTCTATGGAACAAATCCTCTAACAATGGTGATGCATGTGATCCTTAACTTGAGATCACCGGAGCGCCTTGTGCACCGATTGGTGTAGTTTGACACTAGCCTAACGCAGTTCTTTTCAGAGTTGTCATACGGTGGTGATTGGCTGCATCAGGAGTGTATCAAGACTATGTGGTATGACAGAGGATTCATCACTCCGGGTATGGGAAGTATCTCACGGCGCAATTTAATATATGGCAATGACGTTAAACGTGGCCACAGTGGGATTGAGTTGTTGTTCTATCCAGTTTATAATACGGGTCATTGGTCCAGAAATTGAATACCTAATATCGAGAGTAATCGAAGATTGACCTATTTTTATGCCTTCGTCTCGTCGAGATAATGATGATGAAAGGATCAAATTGCACGGTAACCATATCGTTGACAGGTAGCTACTTTGCTGAATCCGAATCTATTGGGTGGCCATGATGCCTTGCTAGGGCCAATCTTGGTCTTGTATTAGTGAGACGTATTGTGTTAATCACGATACTATACATTGCCGATATGATAAGGAGCCTATGGGTCACACACATAGAAGACATTTAGGTCCAAGATGAAAGAGGTGTTTTTCGTCTTTTAAGGCGAAAGGTATTTTGTAATTTCACAGTGCAATTAAATTTGCTGGGTCGTAGCCTTTATTAATTTGTTAGAAAAATTAAATAATGAAATTACGTTTAAATGTTGTGTTCGCACATATTTAAATATTATTTCATTATTGTTAAATGTTATATATATATATATATATATTATATATAATATATATATATATATATAAATTGATTTTAATTGAGATAATGATGGAAAAATAAAATATTAAATTAGGAGTGTTTGGCAACATCGGGCGTTTGGGTTGGAGCCCAAGCCTATTCCATATGGGATCAGGGCAAATTGATTAACTATAAAAAGAAAAATGTGTGTGTTAATTGATAAATTAATTGATTTCTTTTAGAAATTAAAAAAAAAACACACAGCCGCCCTCTCAATCACTCCCACGGCAGAAACACCCTTTGCCTAAAATCAATTCAATTGATTTGCTTTCTTCCTAATCTTGAAACCAAAGAGGATCTAGCAAATCCCTCTTTGGTTCTTTTTGAGATTATCTTCGTGTGGACTACGCAGGTTCGATCATACACTTGGATCGGTAGCAAAACATTCGTCAACAAATTTAGAGGAGCCTTCAACGTGCGTTTGTTTTCTTTAAACTCGGATTTATTTTTCCTGTAGATTTTATTTAATATGAATTGTAAAATTATATCCTTGATCTTGGCTCATGTAAACGATCCCTGAATTATAATTTTTGTTTCCACTGCGTGTATGGGACCGTTTACTAACAATTTGCATGTTTCGTGTTCATTTAGTTTGCGTGTTTGTATTAGTTTTGCATATTTTGTTTTTATTCATATGATTTAGTTTTTGATTTAGTAATAATTTCTTTTTGTTTGACTGTTAGTTTTAGTTTGTTTATTGCGTGGATTTTTTTTTTAGGGTGTTGTCATATTTAGCTTTATTTTTCTTTATGTGTGGTTTTT